CACACACACATATATATAAATTGAATTTTGGGAAACTTTAACGGTGCTGCCAACTTTGGAAAAAGTCATCCCAATTTACTGTGTTGACTTGGCATTGTACAGAAATGGACAACCATATTGGTCTAGAAATGTTAATTTATTTTATTTTATTTTTTTTCCATGTGTACAGGGGTAACACATCTTACTAAATATGTAAGGTTATATCTATGTGGGTTTGATTACAGAAACTAATAAAGTATTCTCTAAATAATGAAAAATGAATAAGACTAAGAGCGAGAAGCAATTTAAATATGTTCAGGGACCATTTTCATCTCCAGAATTAAGGATTATTTTGATGTTACATCATTGCCTTTTCTTTTACTTTCCTTTTTAGTTTTATTTTAGGATTCCCTATTTTTAATGTTCATACAGATATTTCTTTAACTGAAATACCGAAGTTTCTTTGGTGTGAAAAACTAGTACACAGGATCCTAATGAGACAATAATGTGAAATAGGAAGTAAAGGGCTAAAGGGGTAAGGAAAGTGGGAAGGGTGGGGGAAAGGTAATAAGGGAGAGGAAAAAAATGAGAAACTGAAAAAATGGAAATAAAGTGTGTGTAAATGGGGAGGGAAAGAGGGGGTGAAGGGAGGGCAGGGACAAGGGGAAAAATGAGAATCAAGACCTATTATGTAAAGGTACAGAATCCCAATGATGAATGTAACTGTATTTGTATACCTGGATTGTACCAATCTCCTCAATAGAAAAGAAAAAAAAAACTGCTACTGCTTAAAAGGTGGGGGGCAGCTGGCATGGTGGTGCATGCCTGTAATCCCAGCACTCGAGAGGCTGAGGCAGGAGGATCACTGTGAGTTCAAGAGCAGCCTGGGCTACATAGTGAGTTCCAGGTCAGTCTCAACTACATAGTGAGACCCTGCCTCAAAAGAAACCCAAACAAATATCCTCAAAGGGGACCACAGTAGAGGTCTTAGGTCAAAGTACTGTAGTTGCCCCTTATGCAGTTTCACTTTCCATAGTTTCAACTATGGCCACAGGCCAGAAATATTAAACAGAAGATTCCAGAAATAAAACAATTCACAATTTATTGCATGCTGTTCTGAGTAACATGAAATCTCATGCTTTCCCACTGTCTTGCCCAGGACATGAATCACCTCTTCATCTAAAATATCCACATTGTATATGCTACCAGCCCCTTAGTTACTCTTGGTTATCAGATCAACTATTTCTATCCCACAGTGCTCATATTCAAGTAACCCTTATTTTACCTGGTAATGGCCCCAAGGCACAAAAGTAATACTGTTGGTAATTTTATTATTTATAATTGTCCTATTTGATTGCTGTTATTAATCTTACAGTGCCTAACTTATAAAGCAAACTTTATCACAGGTACGTATGTATAAGGAAAAAATACTGTATATAGGGCCCAGTACTATCCATGGTTTTAGGCATCCACCGGGGGGAGGGGGGCTGAGATGGTACACCCCTGTGATAAAGGGGGAACTACTTACTGTATTCTGAAAGGAAGAAGCCGAACCAACTGATCCCACTTCAGGAAATAGTATAACCAGCAAGCAAAGGGACCTTATCCTCATGTGGACTTTTTCCAGAACAACAAAGGTTTGAATTATTTTTTAGAGTGCTAGGGTCCTAACTCAGGGGCTGGTGCGTGCCAGACAAATGCTTTCGATAACTTACACTCCCAGCCCACAACAGATCTTAGATGAAAATGGCCCAGAAGGCCAGAGGCACATGTTTCTTAGTTCACTGCCCCAACTTCCCAGAGTGCTTGGATTATAGGCATGTGCCACCATGCTGGGCTTCGAAATAGATTTTATTTAGAAGGGCTGAAATTAAATGCCAGTCATGTCAGCTACTGGAAAAGAGAAATTATACCTGGCAAAATTGGTTCAAAATAAATAAATTATGGAAACAACTTTCCTCCTCTAAGCAAATACCTAATTTTGGCCACCAGAAGAATCAGAGATTCAGCAGGTGGCCAGGTGTAGTGGCGCCCACCTGTAATCCCAGCTCTTGGGATGCTGAAGCATCTTATTTTCTCTTGACTACCAAGGTAAATAAAATAATTTAGAAACCAAGAAATATGAGCCATAACTGGACAGCAAGACATCGAAACTAAACATTCAGCAGAGAAATCAGTGGATATATGTCATAGAACCAAAGTCACGCAAACATACTTTATTAGTTTCCTCTACAAGAGACAATAACATCAATCTTTTTTAACAGAACTCTCAGGTCATGAAAGGCCAAATTGATCCGAGGATGGAAGATGAAAATTAAATATTTAAATTAATCGAAAGGCAGTATATAATGCCAGCTAAAACCAACTACTGTGGTGGTAGCAGGCTAAGGAAGACTGAGCTACAGCAAATTATCTAATGTGAATGTTAACGATGACAAAGTAGGAAGCGAGTCATTTGGGCCCAAGGGGCTATTTGGCTAGAAGGTCAAAGTGGCTGTTGGAATAGGTAGGGGAATCCAAGCTATACAGACAAACAGATGATGATGGGTCAGGCTTCTTCCTCCCAAGAAACATTTGCTGGAGGTATTATCTATTCCCTTCCCCACCTTCACAATCCCGTCCAAGAGCTGCTCGAGCTGAGCTGCCTACTCATGCCTTACAGGAACCTGCACTACTGGGACTAGGTTTGGGACTGCCCAAGGGTTTCTGTACTTTAGGACAGAACTTAGAGAACTTGTCACACAAGGGCGGGCTCTGTTCCTAGGTGTTCTGAACAAAGAACCCTGAAGTATTCACATGCAAAGGAGTCTGAGCTTCCATAATCACATTCAAACAGCCTTAAACAACATCATACATTTAAAATTTTGCAGCAGCTGAGCTGTAGACACAAAAATCAAGGAAGGTAGAATGAGACAAAGCAGGCAAGAAATCCCAGCAGTCAGTCTCAATCTATCTTTTCTCAATTTAGGATAAGCTTTAATATGTCTGATGTGGGATGTGGAAAGGTATACTGGAGCAAGCTGGTACTTCCAAATTTGTCATCGAATACCAAGGGAAGACAACGGGTGGATTGATTTTATGTTTGAAAAGCTCAGAAGTTACTCTATTATAAAGGGACGTGACTGAACAGGTAGGAAACAGATTCCCCATTGTGAGTTCTCCTGATGGCCTCTGCGAGGATCATGGAGATGTCAATCACCTAGAAAGGTAAGAAAAGCACCAGGTTAGTACATATGGACAGAGCCTCCTGGCCATTTTGCAGCCCAGGCGCCTCATAAGCCCATTCTCGGCTATTCTTCACAAGTTTCTTTTTCTTTTTTTCCTTCTTTCGCCCCTCCCCCCCCCTTTTTTTTTTTTTTTTTGTACTGGGAATTAATCCCAGATTCTTCACACTGAGCTATATTCTCAGCCCTTTTTATGTTGAAACTCTCTGTACTACCCAGGCAGGGCTTGAACTTGTGGTCCTCCTGTCTCAGCCTCCCTTGGTCCTGAGGCAAGCACCACCACACCCAGTATATAACAAGTTTTTACTATAACCACTTAGGGAAGTCAAAATGCTAATAATGGAGGCATTACTCATCAAAATGACAGTGAACTGTCACTTAAAAACTATTGAGATGGGCACACTGGCACACTCTTACAATCCTAGTAATGTGAACCCGAGGCAGGAGGATTGTAAATTTGAGCCCAGCCTGTGCAACTTTGTGAGACCTTGATTCAAAATAAAGAAGGAAAAGGGCCAGAGATGTAGCTCCTTTCAAAGGCCCTGGGTTCAATCATAAAAAAAATTAAAAAAAAATAAAACTAAACCAAAACAAAATAACCTTAAAAATAAAAAAATGTTTAAACGGCAAGAAATAAAACTTTTCTTAGAATGACAACAGTTCTCTATATGTATTAATTTCAGAAAGCTAATGGATTATTATACACATTTTTAAGTAAGATCTTCGTTTTTCAGTGCAACAACACTCAAATTTAAGTGTCTGATAATTATTTAGGTTGGATACTGGCTTTAGAAACTCTGGTTTTATAGGCCTTGGATGGGGCAAAGCAATTTACATTTTAATAAGAAACATAGGTCCAAAACTACTTTGAGAAACACTAAGGAGCATACAACCAGTTTAAAGTTTTCACATTATAATGTCCACAAGGGCCAGTAGTCAAAAAACTTATAGGGAAAGGCATGAATTTTTAAACTTCAATGTGCATCATAGTCACTGGGAGAGGCTGTTAAAGGGCAAAATTTTGGGTTTCATCCTTCAGAGGTTCTGTGGTCTGGCAACTGGCAGGTGTTTTTTACACTCTGGATCACAGATTCTGCTGACAGACTAAACCCTTTAGACCAACAGTAGGGTGTGATGGTGCACATCTGTCATCCTGCCACTTGAAAGGTGGAGGCAGGCAGGACTGTGCGTTCATACCAGCCTGGGCTACATAGAGAGACCTTATCTCAAAATTAACAAAACAGGGCCAGGGATTTAGCTCAGTGGTGCCGCCGCCTGCCTCACAAGTGCATGGTGCTGAGTTCAACCCCCAGTACCACCAAAAAAAACAAAAAAAAACCTTAAGACTATGAAAGGTGGAGGCAGGAGGATTGTGAGTTCATGTCAGCCTGGGCTACACAGAGACCTTGTCTCAAAAAATAACAAAAACAACAACAACAAAAAAACTAACAACAACAACAGAAAACCTCTTAAGACCAAAGAAGGACATTTTCAGAGTCTAGACACCTACAAAACACTTACTGAAATCTTGTTTTTTTAGAAGGAATCTCATCTTTACCTGTATTTTAGAGCAATGCTTCATCTTGTCCTCCTGAGGTATGGTATTGGTGACTACTACTGCTTCGAAGCATGCATTGTTGATGCGAGAAATGGCTGGGCCAGAAAAGATTCCATGAGTCAAGATAGCATAAACTCTGGTAGCACCAGCTGAAAGAAGTCTAGAGGAAAAAAGGGTTGTTTTGGATTAATCTTATTTGTCACAACAGAATCTGAGTTAGGGAGAAAAAGTTTGTTTAGTCTGCCATAACATAAGTACCATGACCACAAGGCTTAAGTAGAAACGTATTTCTCATAGTGCTTAGGCTTACAAGTCCAAGATCAACACATAGACAACATCGCAGGTTTCATTCTGAAGTCTTGGCTTGCAGGTGGCTACCACCTTGCTGTGTATTCACATGACCCCTTCCTGTGCACACACACAAGGACGATGCCAGCAAACTCTCCAGCATTCTCCTCTTATAAAGGAACCAATTCCATCATGAAGGCCCTGAAGACCTCATCTAATCTAAACACTTCCCAAAGGTAAACTCCAAATACCATCACATTTGGGTTTAGAGCTCACCATATGAATTCTGGGAGGCTACATTCTGTTCATATCAAGAAGAAAAATGTGCACTAAGCCACTTTTTGGCTAGAGTTATCAAAACCACCCAGAAGTGATCTGTGTTCTTTTCCCTTTCTGCCTGAACAAAATGGAAATTATCTTACAAGGTCACCTTTAGAAGCCACATGTTAACGATGCAGTATCAGAAGAATGGAAGAGGCTGGGTCCCTGAAAATGAGTACAACCGGAAATACTCACATTGGCACATGCTATACACAAGAAATAAACTATCATGTTAAGCCACTAACATATCAGGGGAACAATCTTATACCAGTAAGCAATACCGTATAACTAAGGATTTCAAGGATAAAAAGGTTTTATAAAAAAAATGCAAAGTAGAGGATTCAAGACAGGAATAGGAATGATTCAGCACTCAAATACATTGTTAGTACCTGTTACATGCCAGGAACAGACCGTCAGGAGTTTAAGGCAGGAGGATCGCTGTGTGTTCGAGACCAGCCTGGACTACATAGTGAGTTCCAGGTCAGTCTCAACTACATAGTGAGACCCTGTCTCAAAAAATATTTTTTTAAGAGGGCCAGGGATTTAGCTTAGTGGTTCCACTGTTTGTCTAACAAGTAGAAGGTCTTCAGTTTGATCCCTGGTACAAAAAAAAAGAAAGAAGAAACAATGCTGAGCTGGCAGATTTAGCTCGGTGGTGCTGGCACCTGCCTAGCAAGCACAAGGTGTCAAATTCAATCCCCAGTATCAAAAAAAAGAAAAAGAAAAAAAAAAAAACAATGCTGTCTATACAGTGGCTTGGATTGTAAGCAATGTGGGGCTGCTTAACATTCCACAGGAGAGGACTGATGAAGTCTGGGCATAGTTTTAGGAAAACTCAAAGTGTGCAGAGGTAATGTGAAAGATGGACTAGGTAGGTGAGACTGCTGACTCCGTTTCAGAGGGCATAGTGGGGAGGCAACTTAGAACCATACAGGCAAAAGATGAGAAGTATAATATGAATAACACAATTACAGCTAAAATGGACAGTCAACCAGTAAGACCAAGGTTTTGAGCTTAGACAAAATACAAATGCTTGTATGTATGAATTTCCACCTTAACTTTTTAAAACAAAAAGGTATTACAAGCCAGGCATGGTGGCACACCCTTGTAATCCCAGCATTCAGAGACTAAAAAAAGTAGGAAGACTCCAAGTTCACAACCAACCTGGGCTGTAGAGACTGTCTCAACACACACACACACACACACACACACACACACACACACACAGGCTATTAAGCAGCTGGGTATGGTAGCCCATGCCTAATATCCTGCTACTCAGGTGGCTGTAGGCGGGATGACCACAAGATTAAGGCCAGTCTAGGGAGTTCAGTGTGACCCTGTCTCAAAATAAACAATTACAGGGCTGAGGACTTGGCTCAGTGGTAGAACACTTGCCTAACATTCTTGAGGCCTTGAGTTCACTTCCTGGTATGGGGATGGGAACAAATTGATATTGGAACAGATAGTGGCAATGGCTATAGCACTGTGAAATATCACTGAATTGTACCCTTTCAAATGGTTAAAATGTAAGCTGGGCACGGTGGTGCCTACATCTAGTCCCAGCTTCGTGGAAGGTTGAGGCAGGAGAATCTTAAATTTGAGGTTAGCCTGGACAACTTAGTGAGACCCTGCCTTGAATTAAAAAATCATAATAAAAAAGGACAAAATGTCAAATTTTGTTATACAGATGAGATTGGGCAAGTCCAGGGTGGTATGGCCATAGACAAATTCTGTTATACAGACATCACTTCAATGATGCTGTGATTTTTGGACATAGCATTCAGCAGAAATTGTACTTGGAATTTGGAGCTTTCTGTGGGCTAGCAATATGCAATAGGGTATTGCCTCACAGTGCAGAGCTGCACACACCACAGCACCTAGTCAGCCACATGATCGTGAGATAAAGATTCAATACTCTACAGTGCATTATGTTGTTAAACTGTGATGCACAGTCAGGTATATTCAGTGTATTTTCACTCACAACAGTTTCACTTTATAATGGTTTAATTGAACTTACAAGGAGTACCTGCGCAGCT